TATATATATATATATGTATATATTAAAAAAAACTCAACTTATTATTGTTTATAGTCTTCATCTGAGAAACCTATTTTGATCAAATGATACATAATTGTTTTAGAATAATTAGTGACTTCAACTTCCAAGTTTAAGTTATGAATACAAAATTGATTAAATAATGAAATGGGTAACTTTATTGTGAATAATAATCACTCCCAGAGAAAGAAATACGACTATTTGTAGTATGTATAAAAATATAAATTAAATTGAAATTTACCTTGATAATTTATATAAAGTTTTTTTTACAAACTTTTATTACATTATTTTATGAAAATAAAACTATAATTTCAATTTAAAACAGGGTTCTTAAATTAAAATTGCATAAGACCGACCAGTTCAACCAATTTAATTGGAAAATAATCTAATGACCGTTTGTTAAATCTAAAAAACCTAGACTATTTTTAAAAAAAATAGTCAAATTGGTCCAAAATTAGAAAGAAAAAAAAAAGTGGCAGATAAAATCGGTTTGAACTGATTTTTCTAAAATTCAATCTAAATTATTTTCCAAGATAAAATAAAAATACATAATTAATAAAGATTACAAATATGTATAAACTAGTATTTTAATCAGTATATTTCACATGTTGAATATTTATTATATATTAATAAAATTTTAAATAAATTATGTATATATATATTTTTTGATAAGCAAAATAAATTAAGGGAAGTACAAGGGGTATCCCAATCCATTACAAAATACAAAGTCACCTAAACAAAATCCAACGTAATTCATACAAAAGGTAATCACCAGATTGTAATCTCTACCACCATTACAAAACTAGGACCATAAAATGTCATCTAATAATCAAACAAGTTCAATAATCAGAAAACCATATACAAAACTAATACCATGGTGTGTACAGAATAAAAAAGAATCATTATTCCAGCTACGTAATTTGATTAATTCCACTAAATCCGTAATTGTCACCACCTTGTCTTTAAAAATGACATTATTTCTAGCAAGCCACAAAGACCAAATTGTGGCTAACCAAACCACAGACCACCTCATCCTATCTCTACCACTGCATCTAGGAAATCCAATAAAATGAGCAAAATTTTCATGACAGGAGTTGTGTAAAACTGTTGAAACACTAAACCAAGCAAAAACAGATAACCATACAGAATATGCATAATAACATCCGAATAATAGGTGAGAGGTATTCTCCAAATCTTCACCACACCAAGCACATCCACTAGCATAAATATTAAGAACCTTCCGCTTAATTAAGTTACATTTACTTGGTATCCTATTCAGCAAGATTTTCCAAGCAAAATCTGATACTTTAGAAGGTACATAACTAGACCAGAGAAATTTATGAAGCGGAAAATCTGCGTAGATACCATCATTAATCACCGCCTTGTATGTTGATTTCACATTATATATCCCATCATTAGAATCCTTCCAACACCACCTATCACAAAAATCATTCTTTAAGACAGTTGATCCTAAATCAGCAGCTAATTGTGATAATAAATCTAATTCCCATTAAAATAGACTCATACGTCAAGACCAAATCCACTCAAAACCTCCATCCCTCCAAAGCACCATGTTTGCGACCGATACATCATTGTCAGAAACTATAGAGAATAATCTATTATATTGATTACAAAGAGGTCCCTGACCACTCCAACCATCCTTCCAAAAAAATGTATTTCGACCATCCCCCACCACCTTGGTACACCTAGAAGAGAACCAATCAAAGATGTGTATGGAGCATAATCAATGGTCCACAGATCAACCCACCACTATGAATTTTGTACTTTATCACCAACTCCCTGAAAACAACCCTCCCCATAAATAGAAGTGACAACCCTATGCCGAAATAAATTATGTATATAAACAAATATTATGTTTAATATATAAATTATATATAAAATTTAATTGAATAAATATTTTTAAATACATAAATTATATATTTATAATAAATAATTTAAATCATAGTTAATTTTTTTATTTATTGATAAATTATTT